AGGATATTAGCTCATGTGTATCATATGTATCCAAATATTTTCCTTGGTATTGGGTTTATTTTTGACCATAGTATTATATGTAGAGTATAGCAATTTTAAGTTTTTATTTRTTCTTTTCAGATATACATGATGATAGAACATGTTTTGACATATTTATACAGATATTGAGTATATTTTATTCTAATTGRGATCCTAGTCTTGTGGTTGTACATGATGTCAAATTCACACATTTTAAGTTTCTGTGTATTCAGACTTATCATTTTCTTTATGGTATTTGGGTTTCCTGTCAAGTGCAAATTTATTTACCTAGGCCATTTTATTTGGTAAATGCTACCTACCATCACAGGCCTTGGCTCCATGAGCTGCTTGAAAACCCATGAAGGCATTAAAAACTTGAAACTGTTTTTTTCTCCTTGTCTAKGAAACAAAAAGAAAATTGCTAAATGTAAATAATCAAATGTTTATTTTAACTAAGTGTCTCCAGAATATAGTATTATATCTGTTCCATCAATTATTAAGTTCAGGCTTCAAAAACATTTAATATATTTGAAAACAATTTGTAGGCTAGATTTTCCCATTTCTCAAGAGTTCTTAGGTGCACATGTAATGACAGAGATCAAGAGCCAATCACAGATTAAGTGAATTTTTCATAGCCAGTGTCAAAGCAAACATCTTTCAGAACAATTTACAGCAAAAACTTAATAGTTGATGTGACTTAGATGCATTTGAGGTGTTTGGTACCAATGGCCATAGTGCTTCTAGAAGAATTATCTGAGGCCCTAGAGGTTGAGGAATGACCTGCTTCTCTTTTCAGAGCTGTAAAACTGATGTCCCGGGCTTTTTAAGTTGTAAATGCTTATAAATGCAGTTTGTTTGTACATATGCTTACCAAAGTTGTTTGGGGTGGGGAGCACTGGCTCCCTACTGTCTATATAACAAGCAATGGGGGCATGAAAAGATGTTTTGAGGGAGCATGCGGTRCCCTCAGGGGAGGGAGAAGGGCTTGGGTTCCAAGGCCAGCCAGGTTTCACTGACGGCTTAGTTAGGTGTGGGGTGGAACAGGGGACTTGGACTGGGTCTCTGGGTCAGGGCAGGTGCAGAGACACTAGTCTTCAAGCCAAGCACTCATGGTCTTGAGGGCATAGGAACTTCTCCAAGAGGAGCACAACATGGGTGGCCTTGAGGCTCCCTTTGCAGGTCCTTGACCCCCGTTCTCATTCATAAACTGATTGGCCAACATACATACATGTGGCTCCTGAAATGTGTCCCCCACGTCTTCCACTGTGTGAAAACATAGAGGGCCCCTCCTGGCCATCCCTCTCACTATGAGCACTCCTCTTCATATAGACCCTTTGGGTYACCAAACAGAGGGAATCCAGGATGTACATGACAAGAAGTGCATCTCTTGGGCCTGAAAGGCAAATTCTATTCCAAGTTAGATTGTTTGAAATAATTCCCTTTCAATAAAATTGAAAGAGAAACTAATCAATTTGTCAGCTAATAGGCTATTAAGAACAATTTTTAAAAAAATATTTTTAGTTATAGATGAGCACAATGCCTTTATTTATTTATTCATTCATTCATTCATTCATTCATTCATTCTTATGTGGTGCTGATGTGAGGATCAAACCCAGTGCCTCACATGTGCTAGGCAAGCACTCTACCACTGAGCCACAATCCCATTCCCACAATTTTTTATAATATATTAACCATGTGATTTTTGTGGCATATAATTCAGGATAAATTCAAAGAATCGAGTGACAGTTTCATAACAGCTTCTTCTAACCCATTACATATTGATGAAATGAGGTTTCCCAATGCTTGCATTTATGAAAATGAAAATTATAATAGAAGTGATTCTGAACTCTGTCTCTTAATACAATAAGAATATGTATTCATTCTCAGATATGTGAACTAGTTGGAAAAAAATAATCCCTATTCATCCTCAAAAGATACATTTCCAAAAGTTTTTTCTTTTCTATCTTGGATAATTGATTATCATTCTGTAGTAATAATCACGAAGGATAACCTCATCCAGGAAAATAATGAATACCTATAGCCCTATGGTTATTAGAAATGAAAGCAAAATTAAACTTTCAATTTACAAACACATTTTTGTGGCAGATGAAGCGATCAGAAAAAGCCTTCTAAGCATAAAAATATGCTCTGTTAGGATAAAATGTTGTGGGCAAAGTGGGAATGGAAATAGAAGTTCAAGGTGAAAAGGAATGATGTAAAAATTCCAACTGTCAAAGAAGTACTTGTTCACATATTTTTTTAAGTGAATATTGGTGGGTTTAAAAATTGCTAGGGTTCTTAGATTCCACTGGTGACATTAAGGTATGAGGGAAGGGTTTACTTCAAAATATCAATATTTAGAATACTCCAGAAATTACATCTTTTGCAGTTACTGACGCATTTTATATATTTATTCAGAATGGTGCAAAGGGGCACACAGTTTTGAAAAATTATTTTAGGGAGTAGGCAACCAAAATATTTCAAGAGTTTGTGAAACAAGAAAGTCATGKTTGTGGAGGGAGCATAATGATCTAGTACAGGGACAAAGTTTGAAGACAGGAGAAAGGAACATACTTTTGGAGCAAATTTCCAGAAGGAAAACATGGGCAAGGTTAAGGAACAGAGGATTTGGGTTAAAGGAAGAAGGGGGAGATGGGACCCTACTTTTCCTGAGATCGGTGAGAAAAGGGGGCATTTTATGTAGCTGTAACAAAATATCTGAAGCTTGGCACTTTATATAGAAAATAAGCTTATGGAGGTCAAAGAGCATGGCSTCTGCACCTTTTGACTCTGGTGATGGCCTTCTGGTTATATCATAGCATGGCAGATGGCCCCATGGTGGGAATACATGAGAGAGGGAGAGAGGGAGATATCACATGATGAGACGAGCTCAGAGAGGCCAACCTTGCTCTTTTGTAATAGCTAGCTTTCTCTAACCCACTGTGAGAGATCAGCATGACTACCCTCACAAGGGCAGTGCCCCAATCTCATCATCTCTTCAAGGCCCCATGACCTCAGTACCATTACGCTGGGACCCTACTTCCTACACAGACCCTTAAAGCATCCAAACCATAGCAAGGGAAAGGTGGTGACTTTCAGCTTGAACAGGAGGAGGAGGAGGTGTAAATGTGGGTGACTTTTGTGTTTTGTTTACTAGAGAACAGGATACAGAAAACTTTGTAGGGTGAGAGTGGGACATTCCCCCTGCCCCAAGGGAAGGTAACCAGGGTCCTCACTGAAGGCTATCAAAACTACACCATGGGAACATTAGAGCTGCTGTATATTCCACCTACTTCCCAATGGGTTGTCATGACTGATCAGGGAGGTATTAAGGGTTACCGAGCATCAGAAATGACCCAGCATTAGGTCACAGGGCATCTCTTTTCAGCCTAGTGGGTTGGTCTGATTACTCTGTGACCTGTTCCACCCTGGACTGGAAAAGAGAAGACAGGACAGGAGGAGGCTTCTTGTGGGCAGGGCTATCTGCCTCCTTCACTTGACTTTGCTCCCCACCCACCCCCCACARCACTATCACCTTCTAAGGTATAATTTACTTACTGTGTTTACTGGCTTATGTGAGATGTAGTTCTGTTCACTGACATATCCTGGGTCAGGAGAACACTGCAGGTCCTCAGCAGGTACTAGGAAATGCCAATGAACATGTAAAGAAAGAATGAATATATTTATGCATTACACTTTTATCATTTCCTCAACTAAAAAATGTGTTTTCTCAACATTCAAGGGGCTTATGCTAGAACAAAAGTCTATCCATATGAAAAAATAAAATAAAATAAACTTGAACACATACCTCCTACCATATATACAATAAAAATAAATTTCAAGAGTATTGAAGACTTTAAAAAGTTAATAATAGGGCTGGGGATGTGGCTCAAGCGGTAGCGCGCTCGCCTGGCATGCGTGCGGCCCGGGTTCGATCCTCAGCACCACATACCAACAAAGATGTTGTGTCCGCCGAGAACTAAAAAATAAATATTAAAAATTTAAAAAAAAAAGTTAATAATAAGCGCTGGGGTGTGGGCTCAGTGGTAGAGTGCCTGCATAGCACGTGCGAGATCCTGGGTTTGATTCTCAGCACCACATGAAAATAAATAAATAAAATAAAGGTATTGTGTCCAACTACAACTAAAAAATAAAAATATTTACAAAATGTTAATAAGAAGACAAAAAAAAAAAAAAAACCTGGGATATAATCTAGGAAACCAGATGCACCATCTAGCAGCAGAGGAGACTTGAACTAAGACAATCCAGGAAAGAGAGGGATACATATGAAAACTTTTTAAAAGTTGTAATGCAAAAAATACCTAAAACTGGCAAATTTGAGGGGAAAAATATTTGAAATACAGAGAAGAGAAAGTGAGTTGTCTTTAATGCAAGACCCAGAATTCTTACAAGTTGTTAGAAAATACAACCTAATTGGCACCAAGTCAAAAGATATGCACCCCTGGTATCACAAGAGCCTGTGTCAGTTGATGGCTTGACTTGCAGTGCTGCAGCTGAGGTAAMCCACAGACCTATGGGGAGGGCTAAAAGACATAGTTTAAGGCACAATGTATGATAAGGATGCTGTTTAGCTTAAAAACAAACAAAATCCAACTGCTCCTATTGTACTTCTAAATGTGCTTGAAAGTTTGGGCTGGAAGAGCCCCAGGAGGTCTGGAAGGGTGAGAGTAGAAGGGAGAAGGCCCTACCCCTTTGTATTCACCTGGACAATGAGCAAGCCAGCCACAGGCCCCTGGCTTCCCAACCTGGGAAAGGGAATGAGTTCTCTTTAAAAGCTTGTGGGGCTGATAGAGAATAAACTTTGCAAATGTCCTAACTTGACTCCAGTTTGTATTGGTGTTCAAGTCTACAAGTGCCCAGAAAATTCTGTCCACTCACCACCACCTCTATTATATTTCTTCAGGATCTCTAAAATAAGAACTGTTGGAATGTAAATTCTCAGGCTGTGGAAACCTGGGCAGGTGCATGACCGTGTTCTGGATTCTCTCCCCCTCCTCCTCTCAGCACATGATGGCATCGTGATTAAGATCGAGGTACAGACCAACGACGAGGGCTCAGAAAGCTTGGAGACACCAGAGCCCCTAATGGGACAAGTGGAAGAACATGGCTTTCAGGACTCGGAGCTGGGTGACCCCTGTGGAGAGCAGCCAGACCTGGACATGCAGGAACAGGAGAATGCCCTGGAGGAGTCCACGGAGGGCTCAGGCGAGTTCAGCCAGCTCAAGCAGATGCTGGTGCAGCAGAGGAACTGCACAGGTAAGCTCCAGGCAGGTGAGGCAAGCCTGCAGGGGTCTTCCAGAAAGACATCTGTACACTGAGGGGTTGRGGAGACTTCCTGATCAGCACTGGGCTAGGAAAGAAGTTGTTATATCCAAAGACTGGTTCAGACAAGAACTCAAAGATCCTGGCGATTATCTATCCAGCCCCCTCCTAGAGGCAGGGAGGTCACATCCATTGTCTAAGGCCACAGCCAGAAAGAACTTCCTCCTCCCAAGGTGTTCTTGATTCTCCTGTCACATTAACATTATTATTTTTTTTTAATATTTATTTTTTAGTTTTCGGCAGACACAACATCTTTGTATGTGGTGCTGAGGATTGAACCCAGGCTGCACGCATGCCAGGCGAGCGYGCTACCGCTTGAGCCACATCCCCCAGCCCCACATTAACATTAGAAGCCTCAACCAACTTGGAAATTTCAACCCTGGAGAGCATGTTTTTAAAATGACTGCTCTATACTGTCTTTCCCTGGTAGAATCTAGCCATCATTTTTTGTTCATTATAAAAAAAAAAAACTCAAGTTTAATCATTCTGCACCTGTAGCTCTTTGGGAGTACAAGAATATAAGCAGGGGGGCTGGGGATGTGGCTCAAGCAGTAGCTCGCTCGCCTGGCATGCGTGCGGCCCGGGTTCGATCCTCAGCACCACATACAAACAAAGATGTTGTGTCCACCAATAACTTAAAAAAAAATAAATAAATATTTTAAAAATTCTCTCTCTCTCTCTCTCAAAAAAAAATAAAGAAAGAATATAAGCAGGGCTGGGTTGTACCTCAGTGGCAGAGCATTTGTCTCACATTCACAAAGCCCTGGGTTTGATCCCCAGTTCCAAAAAAGACAAAAAAATAAAGAACCCCATGAAAAATAAGATTTTTTTAAAAAATAACCCTTAAGAATATAAGGCAGTGGGGCTCACAGCACCTGATCCAGGACTTGTTTTTGTGACAGATTTTTCTGAGGCTCCACCACCCTTGCATTCCGGGATTTGGTGTACACCATCAGCATGGTGTATTTTTTAAACATGCTGTTGGACTTAACGAATATTTTATTCCAGGGTTTTATAACTATATTCATAAATGCAATGAACCTAAGCTTTTCTTGAATGAGCCTCATCTAGTTTTAGAAACAGTATTATTCTAGATTTATCAGATGGACTGGGCAGGTTTTGCTCTTATTCCATATTCTGGGTGAAAAAAATAATAATAATGAGGTAAGAATTAAGTTCCTTGAAAATTTGGTAGAACCCAGCTGGTTTTAGTCTAATTAWTAGATTTTTTTCCCATTTTCTTTCCCATTTTATCTATAGTTCTTCTACAGCTTGCCATTTTTGCACTTAATCAGAGGTCATGGGCATCCTACACCGTCAAGCAATGGATCTAACTCCTTATTTTTAAAATAACCATATGGTATTCTAGAAGTCTTTTTTTTAAATTATTATTATTATTATTATTATTATTATTATTTTAGTTGCAGATGGACTCATACCTTTATTTTATTTATTTATTTTTATGTGGTGCTGAGTGCCTCACATGTGTTAGRTGAGCACTGTGCCACAGGGCCACAACCTCAGCCCCAGAAGTCTTTTTAACATACTACACTCTCTTTCATAAAAGAAGAGCAAAGCTGGGCGCAGTGGCACACACCTATAATCCCAGTGGCTCGGGAGGCTGAGGCAGGAGTATTACAAGTTCAAAGCCAGCCTCACCAATAAGGCTCTAAGCAACTTCGCAAGACCTTGTCTCAAAATAAAAAAGGGCTGGGGATGTGGCTAGTGGTTGAGTGTCCCTGGGTTCAATCCCTCGTACCAAAAAATAAATAAAAGCCGGAAGACATAGGCAAATTCTGAGAACATCATAACATAAATTCCAGATTGTTATCTGAGCATTCCTCATTAGTTCCATTCATTCTAWTAGAACCTAGAAAATACTAAGCAGCTGGTAGAAATTTGAGTCTTGAATTTCAGGGCCAAATATCTCATTTTTATCATTTCATTAAGGAAAAAGTGACATTGGTGCTCAAGGAGAGTTTAGATCCCTAAGGCTCAGCCTTTTAGATCTGACTATATTTTCAGGATAAACACCAGGGTGACCAGCTACCCCCTCCTTCCTGATCTTTTAGGGATTGTGCTCCAAGGATGTTCTGAGTCACTTCCTGCTGGGAATCCTGACACTGCAGAGGCAGCCCTGACTCAGCCCACTGGCCCATTTTAACACGAGTTTACAGGCCCTAGAGRAGCAGTGGAGCATCACTAGCAACTGAACAAGACCTGGGCCAGCTCACAGATATCACTAGACTCAGCTTCCCAGTCAKTGAGGGAGTAGACCAGACAGTCCCTCAGCTACAAGCTCCAAAAAGGTGTATGACTTTTTATTTTACTAGGAAACATCACTTGGTATCTCTGGGCTTAGATGCTCCACCTGTGAAATGGGGATAATTCTTGACTTTATCTGTACCAAGATACTGTGCATCTGAAGAGAAAGCAGAGGTGTGGAAGTGCTTTCAAAGAGTTCTTTGTGAGAATTCTGCAAGCTCAGACTGGTACTTTATCCCGTCTAATAGATGGACTCAGAGAAATGAATGACTTTGGGGCAGAGGATGTAGCTCAGTAGTGAAGGGCTTGCCCAGCATGCATGGGACCCTCGGTTCAAACCCCAGCACCACAAAAAAACAAAACAGAAGTGACTTTCTCATGTCACACAAATTCAGTGACTTAAAATAACAGAGGTTATAGGAGGAGAAGGACACTCCTTTCCCCTTGAACTTACATTCTCATGCACTACTGTAGAACTTGGCCTTGTTTAGGCCTAAAAGGGCCAGACTAGCAGGGGGAGCTGGGAGGAGGGGAGGCCACCCACCAGTCAGAGCCACATGTGGGCACTGCACACACCCTCCTGACCCCAGAGTTCAAGACTGGTAGTCTGAGGGAGCAGTGAGTACACACTCACAGTATGCTAGAGAAGGCAGAGTGCCAGAGTCCCAGGGAAGTGCTCAGGGAGAATCAGGACCACACTGAGAATCTCCAGGTGAGTTGAGGAAGGAAGGAAGCCAGTCTAGCTGAGTTCAGGTGAAGGAGTCCTTAGAAATAAGATGGAAAACTCTGAATCAAGACTTTTTGATACAGTTGGCAAAAACCTAAATGAAAGAGGGACATTTGTGGGGCTAGGGGGTGCCCTCATCTAGCATGTGTGAGGCACTGGGTTTGATTCTCAGCACCGCACTCAAAGGTCCATTGACAACTGAATTAAAAAAAAAAAGGAATGTTTGTGGACTCACATAATTGGCAGGTTCACAAGTAGGACAAGTTCAGGTACAGCTGGATCTGGGTGCCACTTACACTAGACCTTGGAGCTGGTATCCTTTTCTGCTGGATGCTGCTGCACCAGAAGCTTCCAATCTTGCCCAACAGAAAGCCACCTCCCCTGTCTCCTCTGCATAAAATGCCAAGAGAGAACTCTAAGTGGCCCAGCTTAAACCTAAGCTGGTTCCTGACCAAACACCATAGCCAGCCTTGGTTACATGGCCAGTCCCGTGGGGGTTGGGGCCATTATCCTCAGGGAGTGAGATTTTCCCAAAAGAAGGAATTTGGTCCTACAAGGTAATCTGCGGTATCTCCKGATGAGGAAAGTGATGCTCTACCTCCACCCAGGTCAGTGGCCCTAGGCRACAACGTGACTTTCTCATGTCACACAAATTTAGGGTCTAACGTCTCTCTTTCTCTGTCCTTGGARCAGAGGGGATCGTGATAAAGACAGAGGAACAGGAGGAGGAGGAGGAAGAGGACGACGACGATGAACTGCCGCAGCACTTGCAGTCCCTTGGGCAGCTGTCTGGGAGGTATGAGGCCAGTATGTATCAGACCCCGCTGCCTGGGGAGATGTCCCCCGAAGGCGAGGATAGCCCCCCACCCCTGCAGCTGGGAAACCCGGCGGCGAAGAGGCTGGCGCCCCCCACGCATGCGCACTCGCACTCCCACTCGCACTCGCACTCCCACTCCCACTCCCACGGTGAGCGGCACCTGAACGAGAACCGCGGGGCCTCCAGCCAGCAGCAGCGGAACCGGCGCGGCGAGCGGCCCTTCACCTGCATGGAGTGCGGCAAGAGCTTTCGGCTGAAGATCAACCTCATCATCCACCAGCGCAACCACATCAARGAGGGGCCCTACGAGTGCGCCGAGTGCGAGATCAGCTTCCGGCACAAGCAGCAGCTCACGCTGCACCAGCGCATCCACCGCGTGCGCGGCGGCTACGCCTCGCCGGAKCGCGGGCCCGCCTTCAACCCCAAGCACGCGCTCAAGCCGCGCCCCAAGTCGCCCAGCTCCGGCAGCGGTGGCGGCCCCAAGCCCTACAAGTGCCCCGAGTGCGACAGCAGCTTCAGCCACAAATCGAGCCTGACTAAGCACCAGATCACGCATACTGGCGAGCGGCCCTACACGTGCCCTGAGTGCAAGAAGAGCTTCCGCCTGCACATCAGCCTGGTCATCCACCAGCGCGTGCACGCCGGCAAGCACGAGGTCTCCTTCATCTGCAGCCTGTGCGGCAAGAGCTTCAGTCGCCCGTCGCACCTGCTGCGCCACCAGCGGACTCACACGGGCGAGCGGCCCTTCAAGTGCCCTGAGTGCGAGAAGAGCTTCAGCGAGAAGTCCAAGCTCACCAACCACTGCCGCGTGCACTCGCGCGAGCGGCCGCACGCCTGCCCCGAGTGCGGCAAGAGCTTCATCCGCAAGCACCACCTGCTGGAGCACCGGCGCATCCACACGGGCGAGCGGCCCTACCACTGTGCCGAGTGCGGCAAGCGCTTCACGCAGAAGCACCACCTGCTGGAGCACCAGCGCGCGCACACGGGCGAGCGGCCCTACCCCTGCACGCACTGCGCCAAGTGCTTCCGCTACAAGCAGTCGCTCAAGTACCACCTGCGGACCCACACGGGCGAGTGAGCGTGCGCCCCGCCGCCGCCCCTGCCAGGTGCGCGGGCCCAGCCCCCTGGGACACCTGCCTGGGCCGCACCAGGCCCGAGCCCATCGGGCGGGGGCGGGGCGCCCCGAGCCCTCTGCTGTGAGCCCCCCTTCCCCTTTCGTCCCTCCTCCCAAGGACGCTGGGTAGTGAGACCTGGTCGCTTGCTGCCTGTTCCCCCTGGGCCTCTGTGGGGAGAGTGTGGGCCTGGGGAACCCCTTCGGGCTGTTAATTTCCTTGACAATAAAATGGATGAAATCAATCAGCACGGGGGGAGTGATTTGGCTGCCGGCCACTCGGAGGGAYGGTGCAGGGCCATTTAGTTGGGGATAGAAGTTTATAATTACCTTTTGGATACTGTGGTTCTATTTGATAATAATAGAGTAATTTTTAAAAGACGAGCGTTTCCTGTTTGCCGTTTTTGTTTGGTTTTGAAGGGGAGGGGCAGAGAAGGTGGCCCGAGGGACATGTGCGTAGTGTCAGTTGACAGGCCTTATGAGTCCCTTCTGCGTGCTCATTCTCCACGTTGGGTGGAGAAGGAGAAATAGCTCTCTCTGATTGTAAAATCAAAACAGGGGACAGCACTGACCAGCCTGAAGAAGTAGCAGAGAAGGGAAGAGTAGACTCCTGGCTGCCGAGCTTCCTGCGTGCCCTAGTGCCCACTGGACTGTGGGAGTTCAGGATGGCATAGGGCCCAGTTGACTAGATGATGAGGGAGAGTGACAGTGGGGCACGCGGGTCCTAAAGCAAAGCTGGGCACCTTCCTCAGGATCCAACTTTGCTGCCCAGCTTGAAATGCAGCTGGCAGAGGAGTCAGTGGTGGGAGCGAACAGCTGTAGGGAAGGGTTACAGAAGCCTCGGTGCCACCCTTTGGGGAGGCCACAAAAGGCACCAGTCAAAACACTGTTTTTTGGGTTTTTTTTTTTTTTTAACGTTGTTCCAAAGTTACTCTCCAGGAGTGTTGAATGCACGGAGGAACATGGCTTCTCTAGGAATCCATGTTTCTCCTCACCCTTCAGCTTTCTCTCTCCTATAGAAAGAGAAACTGCAGGCATATTACATTGCCCACAGAGTTACTTCCTCTCACTCTGGCTGGGCTTGGCAGTAACCAGAGAGGATCCTGGCCATTTCAAGGGACAGCTGGTGGAGAATAGCAGAATTAGGGCTTAGCCATATCAATGGGAGGCTGGGCTTCCCGGAAGGCAGGGGCTCTTCTAAGAGCAGAGCACTCTGAAGCTGGGCACTACACATGTAAGAAGCTGCTTATTCAGGGTTGGAAAAGGACTGGAGGGAGGAGGTGATGTGTTGTTCACTTTGATGGAACCATAGAGATCACTCTTCTGTAAAGGTGGAAACTGAGGCACAGAGAGAGGGGAAASAGTTGGCACAAGAATTCACATGTGGAAGGATATAGCTCCTGCATTTACACAGCTGATTTCTAAAAGGATGGTAGAACATCAGAGGACATCCAGCTGAAGAGGTGGCATGGATAAGGAGCAGGAAATCAGGTTAGCGTGCAGTAAACACCAGCTGCCAAGCAGAGGGTAAATGGGCCTCAGGCTACAGGTGGGCCCTGCAGGAGCTGGGAGGGATTCCCCAGGGGTGGAGTCCAGGGGGTCTGTCCAAGAGGGAGAATTTTTATAGATGAGAATAGCAAGGAAGGTCTAATAGGTGGGGTGTTCTTAAGAGCAAAGGCCTGGCAGGGAGGCCACAAGGACGAGTTGGAGAAAGGGCCAGCTTGGAGTGGACAGAGGGTGCCGGAAGGGTTCTGGATGTGAGGTGTCAAGGCTGTGGAGTTTGAATTGGATCTTGTATGAGAAACTGGTGAAGACTTTTGAGCAAGAGAGAAACAAGATGCCAGTGATCATCAGGGAGCAGATTGGATAGGGAGGCCAGGTCACAGGTGATGGAAGTGGTGGGTGAAGGTTGAGTTTAAGTGGCTCCTTTGAACATGAAGATATCTGAAGCGCCAAGAAGATGGTGGCAGATGTCTTCTGCTGCTCCGTCTTTGTAGGCCTGCAGTTGGAGGCCTCGGTGCTGGTGGCACTCCCACAGTGGAGACCATGTGGTTTGGGGTAGAACCCAAGTTGGAGACTCAGGGTGATTTCATCTGTAATGTGAAGTTACCAGGACAACATGAGATCAAGTGGGAGGTGCTTAAGAGCTTTCTTTTCCTAGGAACTCTAGTCTTTAAAAGAATTAAACCCAGTATAGCCAAAGACTGGTATTTCTTGTGTGGGGCTGGGCTGCCAGGGCGTGTTGCACCTGTACTTCCCCTTCCTTGGCTCTAACCCCTTCTTAAACCTCTTTCTCTTCTAGGCCCAGCACCCTATACTCCAAAGCATGGGTCCCCTTGTCCCACCTCCCCACTGCTCCCTGATCCTCCCTGTCCATCTGCTGTACTCTCTGCTAGTGATCGGAGGCCAAAATCAAATAGAGGACAGTCATTGAAGTATACACAGACTCTAGAATCAAACAGATACAGATTTAAAGGTTGTGCGACCTTGACCCTAAACAAGTTCATTAACATCAACTTCCTCACCTAATAAATGGGGATAGAGAAGTTCCCATTGTTCCCAGACCTAAGTAACATAAAGCATAAATATATAGCAAAGATATGGGCACATAGTAAGGTCTCAAAGTTTGCTAATTTCATTATTAAGTTATGGCTAATTATGATTTAACTTAGGAAAAAAAATAAGTTCAGTGCGCTAGTGTTGTATTCTAAAAGTACAAATCTCTTAGAAGGAAATTTCTTCAATAGGCAGAAACAGAAAATCACTGTGGTGAGAAGAAAATCAAATCAAACCACATCCTGATGTCCAAGTGGACAGAGGTCCAAACCCACCTTTCCGCCCCACACCAGGTTTGCCACAGGTGGGAGCCCATGCCTGTGGGTTGTCTGGTACTCTCACTGTGATTTCTTTGGGTACCCTTAATTAGAAAGACTCAAATTTCTAAGTTGCTGTTGCCATGAGGTTGTATACCATAAAGAATTAACTGCCATTTATTGAACACTTATTTTTGAAGACCTTATGAGCATTATAAACTCTGATATATGTACCATTACACCCATTTTATAGGTGAAGAGCTTGAGATCTTGAGAGGTTAAGGAAGCCTAAAGTCACACAGCAACCAAATGGTAGAGTCAGGATTTGAACTCCAAYCTTCTGCTCCCAAGCCAATGTGCTCAGCCACAAAGTTCTTTCCCTGGAACCTGTGTGGCTGTGGAAAAAAGTCAGCACCACTTTTAAGTTATTCCATTTTATTGCAGATTTTTTGACTTAAGATAAAATTGGGGAAAATGGAACATATCACGCAGAACATTGCTGTCTGTAAAAATGATGGCTGTACTAAGAATCAAAAAGAACTTCAAAGGCAGAGAGAGCCGAGCCCTATTACTTCACAGCTGGTCACCCCAGCCAACTCACTGATACTAATGCAGGAGGCRAATGGGACGCTCACTGTCATACAGCCCCCAGTATGTATTATGCWTCCACTGTGTGCAAAGCATTGTGCTGGACTCCATGAAGAAACACAAAAGGATCAGAAAATCATCAGCTGCCCTGATAGCACTTAGAATCTGGTGGTGACTTTGCAGCCTCATTCTGTAAACTGAGTCCTCAGGGATCTGGAACAGCCTGGCCATCAGGGAGAATTGTGGGCAGCTATCTTGAGTAGAAAGAGCCACGGCTCCATCTTTCCTGCTCCAGAGGCGTGAGCAGCCAGGTCCGGAGACCTTTCCTGAGGCACTGTGTGGCAGCGCCTCAGATTAAGGGATCAGGGACTGAGGCCCTCCAGGCCCTCCTGTTGCCAGGGCAACGCTGAGTCAGGCCAGGGCCTCAGCTCCAGCTTTCTGGGAAGCCTTCGGGCTGCGGAAGCTTCCTGTTGTTTTCCAGGCACAGTGGGAAYGTCTACATTCGAATTTCTTAAAAATCAATTTTGCATTGATCACTTCTAGTTGGGTTCCTTGAAATGAGTATTTCTAGTCAGGACAGAATCTAACCCTTCTATTTTTTACAAAGGCTAGCTGGAGTCTGGAAGACTCTTTAATAGGAAAAAAATTAGGAATTGAAGGAGGGAGTGTGGGAGGAAGGAAGGAAAAAAAGAAGGAAGGAAGAGAGGGAGGGAGGGAGGAAAAGAGAGAGAGGGAAAAATTATCATAGTACTACTTACAGTGACCTTATATGAAAACTTCCAGGCAAAAATCAGATCTCTGAATTTCCAGGATAATGGTTATAATCATTATGATTCGGAGTCTTACAATGTTCCAGACACTATATGTTGTATGCAGTGAATGTTTCTATTTTATCTTGCAACAAGCTGTGAAATTGGTACATGTGTCCCCTTTAGAGGTTCCCAGAGGGTAAGCAATCAGCCCAAAGTCACACAGCCAGAACTTAAACTAAGTGTGTGGACCCAAAGTGTTTGCTGTTACCTGCTCTTATTTACTGTCTCCCAATTGCAAACCAGATCAGAAAGAAAGAAGAAGGAAGGAAGGAAGGAAGGAAGGAAGGAAGGAAGGAAGGAAGGAAGGGAGGGAGGGAGGGAGGGAGGGAGGGAGGGAGGGAGGGAGGGAAAATGGTACAGTTTGATTTGCAGCTTGGACTATCCCATGGACACCGCATGCAAGTCTGGACTGGGTTGAAAGCACATACGTCTGGCCAGGCCGGCCTAGCCCCACAACGGCCAGAACAGACAACGCCCTTCACATGACCTGGGTGGAGTAGATGCTGCTGCGTAGGTGGCAGAAGCACCCACCACACTGGCCCTCATTTAAAACTGAGTCCCTCTCTTCTGAGGGACTTTGAGACATGTTTGTCAAAATGATGAGTTATGGGGAAGTCAAGTCCAACTGCATGGCAGCCACACTGTGGTCCTGCTGTCAGAGGAGAGTGAGGGCCCCRTGCCCTTTCAGATGTTGGAACCTAAGAGGCATTTGTTCAGAGAAGCCCTTGAAAAGGGGACCGCTGCAAGGAAAATAGACTAGTCAAATAACACATGGCCAGCTCCAGCCCAGGTCAGCCTGATGCCAGTTCCCACCCACCCCCACCACTACCACCTGCACAAAACTCACTACTTAATAAAATAATAAAAGAACTCCATTATTGTAAGACAGAGCATCACCACTGACTATTAAGGTAACAAAAAGTTGAAATTCAATGACAAAATATGCCAATGATAATCTCTATACCCACTATTAATTTTATTTAAAGAATATCAGGACATGGGCTGGGAGTTATAGCTCAGTGGTAGAGCACTCACCTAGCATGTGTGAGGCACAGGGTTCAATCCTCAAAACCACATAAAAATAAACAAATAAATAAATAAAATGAAGGTATTGGGTCCAACTACAACTAAAAAAAAAGAGAATATCAGGACAGGCCTTTTTTTTTAGAATTTTTTAATATTTATTTTTCAGTTTTCGTTGGACACAACATCTTTGCTTTATTTTTATGTGGTGCTAAGGATCAAACCCAGCGCCCCGCACATGCTAGGCGAGTACATTACCGCTTGAGCCACATCCCCAGCCCTGGGGACAGGCCTCCTTAAAATTAGCATGGTCTGATAARTATAAAATTTTTTTAAGAACTAAATTCAATCAGTTCTTTATTTTTAATATAAGATACATAAATGCTAAAATTGTGCTCTCAAAGCATTGGAAATTGATTGGATTTAATCTACCCTCAATCAAGACAAGTAAACTGGTGGCAAAATTGTGACATAGCCATTTTCCATGGAAAGTAAGATCAGAGCCACATCCACAGCCCCATATAGTAAAATTTTTATGTGAATATTTTGCTACTTGGATTAATAGTCACCACTGAAAAATCATATTAATTTTTCCCCGAAGACACTAAATTGGTTCCCATAGTTATCCTCTGAACAATTTAATAATAATGACTG